AGAACTCCGATATTTACAGCGAAAACAACAACTAGTTCTATCATTCGTCATTAAACTAGGAGAAAATGAGACTCCCGTTACGGCAGGGTATGGCTATAAGTACTCCACATACTACATGCAGCCGTGCGCTAAATTCCAGGGGGGGGGGTTAGGTTGGAAGTTGGTGTACGGGAATAGGCAACTGGGCGATTTGACTCAATACCACCTATAGTTCGGGGGAATACTTACACACCTCTCCAACCACAGTTGCCCTGTAACGAAATCAAACATCGACCCCACCCCCCTGAATTCCTATCGCGCGCTCCGTTTTCTAAACTGCCAGGAGGCGTCTACCTGGTTTAACATAAATTGTTTCTAAATCCTAAAATTCTGGTGACGAAAGTGTCCTCCGTCATGCTGCCCCACGAGAGTGAACGTTTGCTCCCGAAATATCGAACTACCCGTGGCTCGGTTATTACAAAAATCGGTAGGATCCCTGTTGGTAGCCCTCTCGGTACTGAAATCGCCCGGCTCCCTATCTTACGGGACCGGTGGTAATGGGGGATATACTGATGGGGCACTTGTGTGCAGGCGTCATTGACGGTTATAGTGTATGCCCCGAATTGATGCCCCTGCTAAAGTCGTAGCCAAAATTAAATATGGCGAAAAATGAAAGAAAGATATAAAAACGAACGTGGATACTAAGTACGGTCTGCGGAATGAATGCATCCTAGCTCCAGATTGGGTTGGGCGTTCCTGATTTTGCGAAAATAATAATTTATTGCCACTAAGGTCACATGTATGTTAGAAAATGATGCAGTAGTTGTGTGCTAGACGCGAATGTTGGAATAAGCAACGTGTAGAGCAATCAGCCGGGAGGGCTACCAACAGGGATCCTACTCAAAAATCTTCCAAATTAATAAACCTCGGTATTTCGGAATGCCCTCAGTATAGGGCTTAAACAGCGCACATACTCCCGCAACTGCAACGTTGGCAGAGACTCCGAAGAAATGCATTCGTATTACCTGTCGTAGAAGCCTGGAGAGGATGTGCAACTGTGCCAGCCATTGCGTGACCGATCTCATGAAATGTTGGCCGAAATTAGGAAATTTGATTTCGATTAGGAAGGATTACTTAGGTGAGGTTGTAATACTGATTAGGATGCAGCATAATCCTATAGTATTTCGGACTCAGCAGGATGTTGGCTTTTGGATGCACTTTTTTCTGATCTTCTGCAGAAACCGCGGTCTGCAAAAAGTGACTACTTAAGTAGCCTGATTTTCGACGCTTTTACAAATTCAAATATATTTTGTGGAGAACGTACGTAAAAATATGCTTCTTTTATTTGTTTGGTAGAAAATCACACTATCTTCAAATTTTATACCTGAAGAAAGTGTATATTAAGGTTTTAAAAAGTTTTCCAACTCCCGAATAATTTTGAGCCAGATCTGCCATTGCATTAGCGTTTAGTGATTTTAGGTTACAAGGCGCATGCTTTCAGCATAAGGAAAACCATATATACCTCTATGCTTTTAAGAAGACACCATATAGTATTTATGAAATTTTTCAATGGATCCGGACTGTGTTGTACATTTCATGAGAAGCCTTGGTAAATGGACATGTACGATGTTGCATATATGGACATTGCCCGGTCTTGAAAATTTCATAATTTGAAACTTTTTTAAAACCTGAATATACACTTTCTTCAGGTATAAAATATGAAGACAGTGTGATTTTCTACCAAACAAGTAAAAGAAGGCCTATTTTTTGCGTACGTTCTCCGCAAAATATATTTGAATTTGTAAAAGCGTCGAAAATCAATACAATAAATGCATGCTACACAAGAAGTTATTTTTTGCAGACCGCGGTTTCTGCAGAAGGTCAGAAAGGAGTGCATCCAAAAGCCAACATCCTGCAGAGTCCGAAGTGCTATAGGATTGTGCTGCATGCTAAGCAGTATTACAATCCCACCTTAGTAATCCTTCCTAATCGAAAACACATTTCAGAATTTCGGCCAACATTTCATGAGATCGATCACGCACTGTAGGTCCAGGCTGTTGAGAGTTCATGAAGGTGGAATGTCCGGTAAGGTTCATGAGGCGCGTTTAATGGCACAGGCGTCGTCCGGCAGTTGGTCGCCAATCCTTTTGTGCTTCGCTGCGGGAGTAAATCTTTATTCCCGGCATATCAAACAGCCCGTGCCATAATTATTACAAATACGGGTATGGGTTAAGTATATGCGCAGGGTAAGAAAAAACTACAGGGAACCGCCCGGAATATTTTTGAAAGAAGGTGTTGTTTGGCAGAGTTTTTGGTCAGTCCTTTCGTCGGCAGGATGAAATTCGCCAACCTTTACCACCCCGAGGAGTCGGCGATGCTGAAATGTCTACATTGATTCATTGTTCTACACACCCCCACACGAATTCCTTTAGTAAGAGGAAAGCGAATTTTAAAAAGTTCGGTACGGAGAACAATCAGGTGGTAAAAACAACACTCAAAATATTGATATGAATATTCGAGCTGAAATCCATCAGCTTCTGCGGAATAACCGCCTAATATTCACAAACTGCCAACAGGCAGCCAGTAGTATGGAATTTTTCAATGATTAACCGTACTAACACATTACACAATTATAAACTACAGGCTGCCTGTTGGCAGTTTGTGAATATTAGGCGGTTATTCCGCAGTAGTTGAGGGATTTCAGATCAAATATTCATATCAAACTTTGGACTGTGCCTGAAAGGATCTGTTTCGAGAGATTTGCTCCAAGATCGTGCATTAGTTGCCTTGGAAATTAAACAAGGCAAGTCAGCACTTTCTTGCTCCGCGCATATGCTTTATCCTTGCTCAAATACATTCAAGATTAATAACTGTCAGTATTACAGAATGCCCTCAATTGGGGCTACCACGGCGCTCATACTTCCTGACCCATAGGGTTGGGCAGAGACTGCTGAACGTATACGTTCGCATTTACCGTCCTACATGCAAGGAGAGGATGTGCAACTGGCCAGCGGCTAAGTCCAGGCTGTTGAGACCTCAAGAGGTTTCGGTGACAGGTAAGGTTAATGAGGCGCGTTCAATGGTACAGGCGTCGGCTGGCAGTCGGTCGCCGCATTCACAGGGGGAATGTGCCTAGGTGTACGCGCATGTTCAAGATGCGTGGGCAGCTCATGCTTCCCCAGACGACTGCAGCAGAAAGTCCAGCACTTCAGTAAGGCTGTTACTCGATGCTGAGAACTGGCAGTTTCTAGAAAAATGTTTATTAGGCGAGATTCAGGAGGGAGGACCACCACTTGATCGTCTTAGTGCACAGGAGCGTAGTTCGAGGCTGCGAGACAGTCCGCTGGAGTATTTTATTGTCAGTTTTTTGCAGATTTCCCCCTCTGATCTCAGTTAGCAGAATGACAAAATTCGACTGATGAACATATTACGAGGCCCCTTAACGGACATCAGTCCGTTTCTCAATCCCGGCGAGTGTATTCAATGTGGACAGTTTTCGCGTGTGAAGTAAACGCCAGTTTTCAGTAATAATAATCGAAATTCTATCGGTCGTGGCTGTCAGGTATGTCTCGCCTTCCACCACTAAATGTCGGTTACAGTGATTTATTCGAATTCCACTGCTGGTTCCTCTCAGAGTGCAGTGATGCCATTTTTGAGCTAACACGAAAGATTCGTACAAGCCGCCACCGAACACATTCGTTACATCTGATTAGATGAACTCTACTTCAGATGGGGCCATCCTCCTCACCCACCCTTCACCAGCGCACCCCTCTCCATCCTGATAGTCTTTACAAGGTAGCCGTCGATAGCGCCTTCAAACAACACCCCGCAAGCCTCTCTCAACCCGGAACATTCTGATCTAGGAAACAATTACCTACTGAACTTGACTCTGCTTCTAATTTTCTTGAATGATCCTTGAGGTCGGGCATGTTTGCATGTGCATACATACATATTTCCCTATGCATACCTGACAACGTGTATCGCAGGTAAAAGAGGGATAGAGAAAGGAATTCACTTTATTTTGAAATCATAAATTGAAAATTTTTAGGAAAAAATTGGCTTTATCCGCTGTGGCCAGTAAATAATTTAATAGATCATTCCAGAGTCAAAAATTTTAAAACAAAAGGGACAATTATTATGAGGACAGTTCACGTCTTGGCTTCTGTATTTCTATCTCTTCACACGGAAGATAGCGCGCCAGGAATGGCAATACAAAAGCTCTAAAAGCCGATGTGCGACAAGACACAAGTTGGAAGCTGCTGCACATCGGGCGGGAAGATTTCGCAGAAATAAGACCAAATGCAAGGGATGGGCAACGTCAACTATAATCCGACCAGCAAATTGCTTGACCGTATTGCAATGTCGTTGCAGGATAGTGTCGACTAAAAAATAAGAAGCAACAGCGGCAGAAGCGAGCATTCGGATGACTCGTCTTAAAATTAAAAGCCAAAAAGCGGACACAAGTGACATTCGACGGTATCTTCTCTTTAATATATACGTGACTTTTCGACCGTCACGTTCGACGACTTCCCCCGTGTGCTCCAAAGCGTGATGAATGCAGGGATGGTGAGTTGTATGTGAATTGGTCTACAGCGGTGAAAGGTTTGCGCTGCATTCACCGCCCGCTATCCTCTTTTACTCACCTCAGCCCGACGTCAAGAAACTTTCAAGAAGACCGGTGGATGAGTCGGCAGCAGCAACTCGCTGAGCCAACCAGTCCGTCTACGCGCCTGGTCTACGTTCAAAATGCCAGGATTTTACTCAACAGGATGAACTGAGATAGACTCGAATCGCAGATTAGTGGAAGTGTGACAGAGGCTATGTTAGGAAGAAATCAATGCGGTCGGTCACTCACTGTACGTCAAGGTATCATTGAGGTCACACGGAGAAGAAGCCGAGAAAAAAGCTTCCCACAAATGTTAGGTGCCTTTCCTTGTCTATGGTGTGTGGGCAGGTTCATGTATGGTGTATGTTTTGGTGGGGGGATGTGTGGGTGACAGGGTTTGGTCTGTGGTGGTTTATCACACAGTTCCACATGATCCAGGATGTGCATGAGCAGTGTGGGATATTGAGAGGAGCGCGGCGGGTTCGGTGAGTGAAAATCTAGGCTCCAGGCTGAGTTCGCCGGCTCCAGTGCAATAGATTGGCAAGTGACCGACCAGTCCGATGCGCGATGTGAGGATGCGATAGCAGTAAGGAGAGGTTGGGATCGGATCTTCACTGCCGTTGGCGAGGGTGGTGGCTGACGAGGTGTCAGGAGGGTCCTCGCCGGTGGTTGGGGTCGGTGGGGGTCGCTGAAGGGATTGTGACGGGGTCATGGTGGTGGTGGTGGTCATCGTCGTTGTTGTCCCTTCTGATATTTTACGCGCAATCTACTACGCTCATATGAGAAGGATCACCTGAGCCTTACTCACGGTCTTCCAGTCGAACCTTCCACAAAAACGCATTACTTGGAAGTGGGAGTGCGCGCAAAAAAATTCGACAAGAGAAATGCCAATTTTCAGTAAACACTAGTCAGAAACTCTCTATCTCTGACTTCTTCTGACCTTGAATATCGTTTCTTTCAAGGCATTTTGATGAAATCGAATCCACCTGGCAGAACATGCATTTTCAACTTCAGGCCACTTACAAAGACATTCTGGGATATCAGCATTTGGTATGAATATCCCTTTTATTTTTCTGCAATACGACACCTAAAAATTATTGTCGCAACTTGACATAATAAACCAAGCAAGTTCTATATACCATTTGGTGAAAGTGAACTTCTCAATAAAGGTGATCATTACTCAAAGCGTAAAATCCTAATTTTACCGATTACGGCCAACTTATTCCTAGATCCCTTAAAACATTTTAGGCGCTCGACCAAAGTTTTTAATTGATTGTGGTTTACCGCCTCCAATTAACCTGTATTTGCGAAATTAGTCAAATTGAATGCATAGGCTTATAAAGATAATTTAGTTTTTGTGAATGATACCATCTGAATAGGCATTTGCCTTAATCTGTTTTGTACTAGTTGTTTACAAATTCATCAGAACCTGTCTTCTGGTGTGGAGACCGGTATCTTTTGGAAAAGTAGCTGTTTCTCAAGTACAACTCATATCAGTTAATCCGGCAACACCGAATCCAAAATTCCCAGCCCGATCTAAGTGAGAGTTTGCTTATTTAGAGGTACAGAGAGAACTCATCAGTCAAGAGTTTCGTCAAAATCTGGGCCTATCTGATAACATTTCCGTTTTGGCACCCATGAATGCTGCCTTTTAGGCCCATCCCGTCCCAAAGTACAGTTTATCTTGCTGGCGCATCACGCGTATGATTGTAGATTTTGTCGCCTCTCTATACTCCGTACTTTAGCGCTGATTAATTTTGAGCTGTAGGTTAGTTCCTTGGTCCAACAGAGCAGTTTTTTACAACTTATGTTAAATCTCCCCTTGGCATCTTGGCAGTACGCGAGTGAGTATTTCAAACAGGCAATCAGACCAGCCGACGCCAGCGTGGACCAATCAGCAAACGGCAAATAATCTATGGGCGCCAACTCTGCTCTCTGCTCCACGTCGACATTAAGCGCTTGTTGGTTTAAAGTCCCCTCCCCTCACTTCATTTCCAGGCATATTGTAGATCTTGAAATGGAACAATCAATGCTTCAGTCAAACCGATGAGGTGTCCTGGTAAACGGAGTAAATCCGCGCCATGACATGAGACCTGTTCCTGTTCTACACTACTTGACTCTCACAGTCGTCTGACCAGTGACTGTCGCAAGATTTACCAGAGTTAACTTAATATGGCGAGAATAGTTTCGTCTTGGGAAGAAAAATGTCTGTTTAAACTGCCAAAACTGTTTTTGAGACAGTTTTGTTGAATTTGTAGGTTTAAGCATGCAGGTTTAAGCTGAACTCGATAAGGCCATTTAAATTATGGTTGACCGAGAAAAAGTGAATCGCCCTTTCTGAAGTAGTAGTTGCGGAAACATTTCAATGCGGCTGTCACATGCGGTAGATTATTTCCTGCGATAACTGGCCTAACTTATCAAATGTCCTGATCGAAGTTTGAATAGGTAGTCATACATTTGGTGTTGTAAATTGTATTTATTGAGTTTATTTGAGTGGCAGAAATATGTTTACTAAAGATGAATCCACTTAACCTCTGTCTTATTAAAGGGAAACAGGCCAGATATTGACGAAATCGGACAGTTCTCGATATCTGGCCAATTGTCTATGTTATTGAAATTCACGGGTATAGTCCTAAAATTTATGCATATTATGCTATAACCAAACATTAATATAAGCAAAAAATTTAAAACGAATCCCTTCTCGGAACGCGAAGTCAATTTTTTTGCCCATTAAAACAGGCGAAGGCGAGAATGAGATATTGCATTAGTTGCAAGTAACAAACGAAGGATTCAGCCTTAAAAATTATTTTCTGCAAATGTGGCATAAAACGCAGGAATAAACTCGTCTGACAGTTGTTTGTTTTGCCACATCGAGAATTCCTAGGCGTAAAGAAATATGCATCGAGTACTCGTGAAATTCTGTTACTTTTCTCTGGCATGCTATGTAAAAAGATGTCTAGACAGTTTCTGCCAGCAGTCGACTACAAACGGATACGGAAACAAGCAGCGTAAGGCTGTCGCGTGATTTGTTAGCAAGTATTTTAAATCCCAGTAGGGTCAATTTGCGATGAATTATTAATGGTAGAACTGTGTGCAGAAAAAGCCAGATGGACTAAAACGGTTCACGGGTGGGTAGGAGGACTATTTCATTCGTCGTAAACTGAAAAGTATCATTATTTACCCATTTGGACCATCCACAGGAAATATCTGACGATGTTCCCTATGAAGTTAATTAGTAAACATATGCAGAGATTTGAACCTCAGTAACAAAAGACCCTGATCGAGCTCTTTTAGGTAGAAAGCATAATCGTGATTATCGGTTCGCATTACGGAGGAGCATTTACTTATGCAATGAGGTCTTATTGTTAGTCAAACCTAAGAAGTGAAAAAAGGCGACCATATACGGAAGAACTTTCCAAAAAATGTCTTCTACAGACGGCAGACTTCAAGAACTGTGGGCTGGTGGTCGTCTGGAGAGCGTCCGGTCCGAAGGTTGACTATGGCAAGGTATTTGTCGATATTACGAAGGGAGTCTTTGGTTTAAACGACATCCATCGACTCTGGGTAGCTATTTCCATCTTGCGATAACGCGGCAGCCCATCAATCTAAAGAGGTATAAGCCTGACAACGTTTTTAACTCTGATCTAAAATCTAGCCTCTCCGCATGAGGTCTCAAATCGATTTTTGGTCCTACCAACAGCCCTCATCTTAAATGTGTCGTAATCCTTTTTGCATGTATGGAAGTGAATTGTCACAGGGCGAAGAAGAATCATTTAATGCCAAGAAAGCTTGATTTTTACTAGATAATCACGCTGAATAATCCACCATATGCAAACTCTCTACCTCCATGTCTGAGAGGTTTTCAGCAATGTTAACTGAAAAGTGGCCGGAAAAAAGTACCGACTTTCGTATTCATTAGTGTTTTTCATTATTTTTCACTTTTTCATGCGTTTTTACTCCTTATAAGCCCTAGTGTCAGCCTTATTTAAATGATTTATAACATTGTCATTTTGTGGATTTCTAGATTTTGGGAAAAATTGGTCATCTGTAAATCCAACTGAGGTTTTACTTTTAGTACTGTCGTGTCTTTACTGCTGTAATACTCTGGGGAGCGCGGCGTGAACGGATTTACGTTATAGGGATTTTCTGTAAAACTCAGGAGATCTGGTGACATTACACATGCTAAATTTTGGTTAAGCCGTTGAAAAATATGTGACAGATGAAAATTGCCGCCTTCCGCCCATTTGACGAAAGCATTGACCTTAAAACGGCAGATTCGGCAGTTTCACGTTTTGTTTGCAAAAACTGCATATAACACCTCATCTGATTCCTTTCCCGTGACTTAAGCATTCGGAATGGCTGATAAACTTTGTTTTTAATCCTTAAAAGTGGTCATCCTTCAACTTACCAATTACAAGATTCGCTGGGCCCCGATCAAATCAAAGGCAAATTATTTAAGTGCTAGTAAAACCCCAATCGTCCAAATGATTTTCCAAACGTACCGTAAATATTTGATTTGTAAATCAGACTACTGCACAGTACTTTACTTTCGATGGGGAAGAGGACTCATTTTTCCGGGTTTTTGCGTTTGGCCTTGTGCCCCGTTAAGCATTCCAAACTGTTTATTTCTGTGAATGTTTAATCATCTAGTAATTTGTTCGTGCTCTCAGCCTTAAAGCAAGAATTGTAGAAAATCCACAAAAACTCAAAATACCACAATGCTCCTTGAAAATCCTTGTCCTTCCATCAAGATCAGTGTTGTGTTTGGTTCTGCGTTTCTACTCCTTCTCCCTGCAAGTCATCAGCTGCTTAATGACCGTTTCTATTTAACCACTTATTCTGACAGAACTTTTTATGGTAGTAAGGAGTGAGATTAGCCGGCAGTTGGACCGCAACGTACGCGTGAAGATACTATCTTCCGCTGGGTATGGCCGGGTAGACACAAAGCTAAAAATAAGAGAAATTTATTTGCTCTTCTGTATTTGAGAATGTCAGATTGGTAGCTTGGACAGCCATTTACTCTCCTTAGAAGTAAACTTGAGGAGAAAATTTTTCCGGACAAACCCTTTCAGTCTCAATGCAAAATCCGATAGTAATATTTGGGCCGAAAACTGTCAGATCCGCCTGAATAACCGCGTAATATTCCCAAGTTTCTAGTAGGCAGTCAGTATTATATGAATTTTCGGTGACTTACCCTCCTGACAGCAGATATATCGGCTGAAACACATCTGTCACAAGCTATTCATGCAGAACTTCCTATCATAAAGGGACAAACTCTGAATTAGATGTTTGATCATGCCTAGGAAACAGGTGTCTTTGTAAGTCCAAGCAAACCTTTAACTTGCACTCATGAAATGAACATGTGTTTTGTAGGCCGCATATTCGGAGCTGGCAGAATAAAATAGATAATAAAAGATGCCAATATTCTGTTCCTCTGGAATCACAGATCATCACCTTTTTCAAACAAGGTTTCGTTTGCTCTTCGGTAAGCATCTCCCCACCTCTTTAACGTAGAATGCTAGCAGCACAAGGCCCGAACCAGTCCTTCCATACATTCACATGCAAGAGTTTGAATGATGTTTTAGTCCTCTGAGTCAGTTTCTGAAAGCGCATAAGCCTATGTGGGAGAGATCCCCCGTTCCTGCAAAGGTAACAATGAGCTCTGTGCGATCGCCCATGTGAGTGCTGTGGTGGCTTCTTGTTTGGATGGCTGCCTGAGTATCCGTGTGG